GCGGAGTAGAGCCATGCAGCTGGGGAGAAGTTGACCTTCAGACAGAAAATGCAAAAAACATTATTCATCTGAAACTTAACACTCCTTCCTGGAAACCCACTAAGCAATTCAGTACTCTAAAGATACCCACTAAGAAAGTGCCTAGTGAGAAAGTTTTCTTGCTGCTGAAATCCACGAAGAAGGTGGTTTTCAATGTCAGTGAGCTGTCTTATGATGCTGAACAACAATGCTGGTGCATAAAACTACGGTTTTATAGCTGCACAGGCACAGGTCAGATGTGTGCAGTTTTTAGGATTACTTGTTTTAGGACAGTAATATTATTTAGGGTTGGGGAAGGTTGAGTTTAAGGAAAAGATTGTCTCAAAATTGAATTAAAATGAAGTGCAGCATCGGGGAGGGTATGGACAAGATATCCAAATAACTACTGATTAATTTTAAACCCCTTGTATTTTGGTGATAGACCACACAAAAACTTTCAGCACAAAAGTGGGATGGTTTTGTTTTGTTTTGCTTTTTTTTAAAGTTGTGAGCACCAGAAATAGAGCATTTATGGAGAAAGTGATAAATTTAGAGCAGGACGTTTAAGATGACCACATAAATATAATCACACATGGGACCTAGCTGAATCTGTCTGTAGATCTTGCAGACCAATTCCATTCCTAGTGCAGATCCCCATGACAGTCTCTATCTGCCAGGTGGTGATGCTCTAAGACATAACAGGGGACTGTTGCAAGCTCTGCTGTTAGGCTTCTTTACTCCTCCAAAATATCCTCAAATACATTTACAACTATGCTTAAAAGTCTTAGCATAAATCATGAAAACTGAATGGCACACACAAATAAATTAACCAAGTCTGGTTGGGGAGGCTGTATCTTCAGTAATTCTTATTATGTTTGTTTAATGAATATTGGCTATTAGTAACTCATTTGCAGTAGGCCTTCTAGTCATTAGTGTGAATTAGCAGGGTTTTGTTGGTGGGATGTCTCAAACACGAGATAAAAATCCTGTGTCATTCAAAACCTCAAGGATACTCTGCAGTGAGACCCTCTGTGGAAATCAAACTGCTCAGGTTCACCCCCAGTCTCTCAATCCCTGCTGTGACAGTGTGGTAGATGCTCTGTTCATCTCTTTGAGCTGCATGGCCCAATTCCTGAGCAATATCCTCCCTCAGGGGAAAGCAGACTGAGTCAGTGCTGGTGTATTCCATGTGTCTCAGGCCAAGTGCATGCCAGCAGAGGCTGTGTATCCCAGGATCAGGTAAAGCTCCTCTCTCCATAGGTAGGCTCTGGTAACTGTGGCTTCGTAGTGTTGATTCACACAATTTTCTGTAGCTCTTTATTTATTTTTCTCCTGGTACACACAGTTCATGTGTTTAATGCAGCTTGTTTATAGCAAGGACAAAGGATTACAGTCCTTAAATCAAAAGCGATGTTGGTATAATTATAAGTGCAGGCTGGTATGGCAAAGAGGGCTGTAGGGAGAGGCTGTCAAAGGAGAACAGCATCCAAAATATAGTAACCTCAAAAATCCTGGCTAATCAGTTTTCTGACGGGAGCAATCTGTTTCCCAGGTTATTATTATTATATGGGGACTTTAAAGATAATAAATAACAATAATAGTCTAGTATAAGGAAGGAAAGAAAAGGGCAAATGCCATTCACTTCAGAAACTGTGGTTGCTCACTGGAGTTCTCCAAGGAACATAATTTTCCTCAGCCCCTGCAGAGGGCTCGATCCATGACAACACCACGAACATCCCAGGTGCTGTGGTGTAAGCAACAAGATTGCTCTGAGTGGTGTTTTCATTAACACAGAGACTGGCCTGCAGAAACCACATACCCCAGTGCACACATCCTGAGCCAGAGAGCTGTTCTCTGTGCTGTTGGCTGGGACCTGTGATCCCTGTGGATTGTCAGATTCCTCAGGAATGAGGGCAAGTGATACACCACTTCTAGCACTCTGGTGCATCTCTGAACATTTACTTAAAAGACCAAAACAAAGAAGGGCTTGTTGAAGTAAGCTTTTTCAGAGCTGTACAAGGCTGTGAAGGCTTCTCTCCCGCAACAAGGCAGCCCAGCTAACGGACCCTGGCTAACAGATTATCAGCAGCATTTGAGTAATAGACTGCTCATTTAGTTTTAATACATTTTGCATAGAGAGCAATCAGCCTTCATCAGTCTTAGAGATGAATTGGCTTAGCCAGCTAAATTCTAAAGATATTAGTCTGACAGCAGCCACATAAATCATAACATTTTCTTAATGATGGTAAAATTAAAATATACTCTTGCTTTGAGAAACCAATGAAGCCTTCGTGTTTGCAGGCCAGATCATCCTGCCTGAATTAAAAGGAAGCTTAATTGATGTGTTTTTAAACTAAACTCACAGCCCCACTCCTGAGCATCTCTAGTGTTCCTTTCTTTGAAGTTAATTTGTCCTGCCTCTGCCTGCTCCATCGTCTAATCTTCAGGAGTGTCAGTGAAGACCTTGGCTCGGTGTTCATTGACCAAACTCCTATGGGATGTGAGCAGAACATACACAACATCACAGCTGAAGGCTTTGCCGGGTTAATCGTTTGTGCTGCCAGTAATTCTTTGAGCTTGTGATTTTCCTCTTAACCAACAGAGGAAAGAGACCACAAGGCCTCCTGTCTGTCCACCTAGCCTAGCCAAGCATGAACTTTTCCTATTTCTTGTCCTTTGCTCCTGAAGCTGGTTTGAGGTCCAGCACGTTTTTGCCAGTTAAGATAGCACAGTCAGACTAGGTCAGCTCATACATCCCCCAGCTGCAGCAGAGCTGGGTACCTCACCTATCTTGTATGTTCTCTGTGTTTCTATGTGGGGCAGAACAGTTCCGTGGACAGAGGCCTCTTGCTCTCAGGAATGTCTTTCTGGTGCTCTACGCTAGCCATTCTGTCTCCCACTGAGCTGTGCTAACTGCCCTTTGTTTCCTTGGCATCCCGCTGCTAGATGCAGAAAGGCACCCAGCAGATGAACAGGACCATCTCCTGTCCCAGTGCTCTGGGTTGCCTTGTGTTAGGGCTGTACCCTGTCCTGCTGCTTTTCAGCAGAGCCTCTGCAGGGTCTGTGCAGTAGAGCTCCTCAGAAAACCTACTTTAGTAAGGTTTTGCTCAAGTTAACACTCTGGACCAAAGACTTGACTGAAATCCAGATACCTGATACCTTTGGCAGCCTTTCTACTGAAACAGTAATTTTGCGGTCAACTGTAAAGATTCAGTTTCTAAAGTATGAAGTTCATTGCTATGTAGAAACCCCAGCTCTAAGCTAGAGACCCTCAGGCTTTAAAAAAGGACAGAGATACCTTCAGTCCTCACCTGTGCCAGCTATTTGTGTGAGGGCAGGTTTTCCTGTTTCCCTTTTTGCATCCTATGGATCAGGTTGATTTCTTAGAAATCCTTCTGTGATAGTCCTCTTGTCCTTTCCTGGGGTCTTAACTGCGGTGCTAAGGTCTAGCAAAAGGACTAGGTGCTACTTGTTGTGTAATGTGAAAGGCCTATTCCCCTGAGGTGCTCTGTTGCGTCCATACTCTGGTTTCTTGGCTGAAATAGTGTGGTGGAGAAGGTAAGTTTTCCCAGCAGGTCCTGCATCAGGGTTGTGGAGCTGCTTATGGAACATATTCAGTCACAGCTGAGTTAAGGTTAGTGCTTTTGGCATTTGGGTATGTGGTCCTGCCTTCAAAGGGATTAAAACATTCCAGATGGTGTCTCCTGTTGTTGTTTTTGCTTTGGGGAAGTTCTACACTGTGGAAAAGATGGGAGACTGACATTGGGCTGTCAGTGGCTTATGGGAGGTAAGGTGACCATGGGACCCTCTGGTGAGCTCATCTCCGAGGCCAGTTTTAAGATGCAGTAAAGAATGGCTCTCCTTCAGGTCATTCCCAGCCCAGTGTTGCAGGCTCATGGTTGGTTTGGCCAAGGATGGAGCCATTGCTCAGTAAGTGGTGTGCAGGATGGCTCAGTAAATGGTGTGCAGGATGCCTCTTCCTCTTGGCTGTTCAGTGGCCTGCCAGACAGCTTGGGCTGGTGATGATGATCCCTGGTTGGAGGTGTAAGTTCATCTTCCCATGGCTGGGTATGGAGGGACAGTCTACAGCTGTGTGCAGTAAGGTGTTTGACCCTGTGGTGTTGAGAATAATTTCTTTCCTGGTCTATCTTCCAGCATTGCTAAGGAAAGAAAGTGCTTTCATTCGTTCTTGGATATATCCACAGGGCTTGGAAAACTGTTCTCCCTGATACATTGTGCCAGCTGCGTTTGTGCTGCTTGTAATCTAATAAATGCTTGGTCTGAGCAGCTAGCACTCCTGCTAGAGCCCAAATGAATGCAGAGGAAGGACCCTGCTAAGTGTACGCATTCTTCCTCTCCTGGCCAGCTCCAATTCCCTTTCATAGCTCACATCTGATGCTTCCTCTCTCACCTAGCCCCTTAGCTCCGATGTAAATGTGTGTTCACACTTCCGCCAGTCAAGTAACTGTGCTCTCTCTGTCTCTCCCCTTTGTTACAAAGCCTGCTCTGTAAATGAATCCCACAGGTCTGGGGCTCAGCAGGTAAAAGGAGAAGTGAGTCTGTTAGCGCATGAGTCTAATCAGGCCGGCTAAAGCGAATAAAGTAGGGCAGCATTGCACATTAGCTGCTGTGTAAATGAGCCCTTTGATGGGCTGGGCACCGCGGGAGAGGGTTTGAAGCCAAGAAGAACTTTTGTTGTTAATTCAGTGACACATGGAAACTGTAAAACAGCGTGTCTTGCACACACACGAGAGGGAAAATAAAAGCCCTCACGACCGGGCTTTTCAATACCTGCCCTCGGACCTAGTCTGAAAACTTTCAGCCCCTGTCTCCCTCTCTTACCACTTGATTTTCCTTTCTCTCCCTTTCTTTTTTTGTTCCCCCTGCACTATAAAAAGAAAAGCTCTCTTGCCTTTTGAACTAGACGGCTGTGAGTGAGGGCTATCTCTGAGCTGTGTGGCTCTGTTACCTTTGTGTTCCAGATGAAACTGCCAAGCTCGGTGGGACAGAAGAAGATTAAAGCCCTGGAGCAGATGCTGATGGAACTCGGAGTAGGTGAGTAAAGGGGGCACGCGAGAGAGAAAGAGACACACAGAGCTAGCCTTTGTTCTCGAGATGGGCTATTTTTTCCCCTAGTAATACAGCCAGTTTCTTGAATAACAGTATGTGAATGGTTTTTAAAATATTTTATGTGTTTAAAAAAAAAAAACAAAAAAGGGTAAAAGCCAGAACAAGATGCACAGGGTTTTTTATTTTTTTCTTTTCCTCCCAGTAGAAAAATGTTTTAAAAGAGCCTTTGTTTCTCTCTTGTTTGGGCCTTTTTAACCATCAAGAGAGGCAGCACAGTATTAGGAAGGCAAATCTCAGCCTTGCCAGGAGAGGTACTTCTAAGTGTGTTAGTGACCACGGCACACACATTGTTCAGGGCTGCCCTGTCTTGCTTTCAAGCTTCGTTTCCTCTTAATTTACTGCTCACGGTGGCAAGTCCAAAATGTGTCTAGGACTGTTCATCCCCCCTTTATAGGTTGCATGCTGTGTGAAAATCTGGAGCATCTCTGCCGAAGGGCGAGTAAACACACAGCCCTCACTCTTGAACTCCAGTGTCTTAGCAGCAGAAAGAAGGGTTCACTTAACAGGTACAATACCCACTTGTAGCTAGAGGGGGAGAGGTGCAGCCCATGGCTAGCTGCTGCCCTCCATGCAGTGGGTACAGTTTGCAGGTACTACAGGTCCCAGCATTTAGTGCCCCTTGATTGGACACCTTTTTCCCCCATTGTGTCTGGGGGGGATTTTTAAACATAGAAAAATAAAAAAGAAGGAAAAGCCCACGAACCACGACCTAATTGGTGATTTAAAAGAGATTCCCAAGCCTGCTCCCAGCACTGACTTCTGTTAACTCTTGCTAGTTTTTTGGGCCAACTGGTTATAGTTTGATTATGTTGTCTCAGAGACACTGCAGTTCTGAAGTCCTGTGGCTGGTGAAAGCAGCTCAGCCAGGGTGGTTTCCGTTTTCTGCTTTAAAACTAAGGGAATTACCATCTTTGCTTGCTAGGGAAGCCTTGGGGAAGGATGTGAGTGCTTCTTAGAGCTCACTTTCTACAAGGGTAAGGAGGGGTTCCTGACTCCCCGCTCCTGCCTTACGAAACACGTGCATCTTCAGAGTTACCTGGTGTTCCAGCCCTGCTGTGCCTTAGAATCCAGAAACACACCTGGGCTTTGTGGGGGTGAACACAGTGCTAGCAAGAAAGGGTTGTGTGGCAGCCCTGTGGACAGTGAAGTGCTATTGTAGAGCAGGACAAACACATAGAGCTTCACCCTTTTCTTCTCTAGAACATTCAGCTCTTCCTGCCTTTGTGTGTGTGTGATGGGCTGCAGCAGAATGTATGGTGTGGGGAGGTGATCTGCCAGCCCCTGCTACAAGCAGTTCAGGTCTGTATTAAAACATGTCTATAACACAGCAGCAGAGCAATTCTCTGCCTTAGTCCTACCCTGGGAGGAGCAGCAAGAGAGGCAAGGGAGCTCGGTCTGTCCACCCCTTGTTGGTGAAGGTGCAGGGAACAGCAGGAGCTCTCCTCCTCTGCAGCAGTGCATAAAGACTTGTTCCCAAGACTGAGCTCCCTTCATATGACCTGGTGGGTAGGTAGGTTCAGTTGTCTGGCCTGATCTGCCTCTTCCATCATTCTTTACTTGCCGAGTTCCAGAATTTGCAGGTTCACTCTTAGTCCTTGCCAGAGCCAAAGGACAACCTTCAGGTCTCCTACCCGTAGGGATGCTGATTGCTAATGATCCATGTGATGGGAGCAAGGCTTCTGATGTTTCTTTGTGGGAGTGAATGGGCATCCAAGACCTTTCTAGGGATCTTCTGTTATAGGGTTGCAGGTCTGGGTGTTTAACAGAACCCTTTTTTTTCTCCCTAGATCTCAATCCAATGCCCACGGAGGAGATTGTGCAGATGTTCAACGAGCTGCGGAGTGACCTGGTGCTGCTCTATGAGCTGAAACAAGCCTTTGCCAACTGCGAATATGAGCTGCAGATGTTACGGCACCGCTATGAGGCCCTGGCCAAAGCTGGTAGTATTGGTCCCCTCACTGCAGAAGGTGCCCATCCAGATGGCCAGGCAGGGCTCGGCATCGAAGAGGTCAAGGGAGATACCAAGGACCAGATCATTGATGTAGTAGGAGCACCACTGACCCCCAACTCGGTGAGAAGGAAGGTTGTGGCGGCAGAACAGGGAGCACTCAGGTCTCCGACGCAGATGCCCTGACAAGTGCTGGGGATGCTGCCCTGCTCTCCCTCCAGGCATGCACGTCCAAGGGAGCACAGCACACCTGTTTACCCCAAGTCTCAGTGCTGCTCTCTGGGCTTGTCTCCTGTGCTGGACAGTGTTCTTGGTGCTACAGGTGGGGTCGGCAGGGCTTTCTACATCCTGCATGCAGGCAGATGGCTTGACGTGGGTGCCACCGTGGACCAAAGCAGCAAGGCTTTGGGTGACGAGAGCTTGCCCTAGGGCAGCAGCAGTGACTCCAATACAGCTGCAGGCCTGAGGCATTTTCTTGCTAGACACAGCTCCATAAGGGTTGCTCAGCAGAGGGAAGTGAGTCGGGAAAGCAGTCTTGAAATGGTGAGCCATGACTTGCCCAAGTACCTGGCATCAAGCGGTATTCTGCCTGGAGCAGGAGGCTTGGGAAGGAGAGAGGTGTTTGAAGAGCAAAGGGGTGTTTTTATACCCTACTTCCAGTGCTGTGAAACGAAAGCCAGACCTAGGGGTTCTTCCACTGTGAGCCCCACAACAATGTCCTGTGCATGTACCTCTGCAGGATGTGAACCACCAGCCTCTCCTCCCTGCCTCCATGAGGGCAGGCTGCCCAGCCCCTCACCACTGCCTCAGGGCCAAGGGTATGCAGTCCCCTGGCACAGCTGAGCTGAACTGCCTGACAAAAGCTGCCTGTCTCCACACAGTGGCATCCCCCACACCTCAGACGTACTGCCCTGGTAGTGGCACAGACCTTTACTTTCTAAAATGTATAATGTATTGCAGGATATTGAGAACACCTAATTGGCAGAGGTGACACCTTAGTCTGGACTTGAGTAATGTCCTATTTGATTGTGACAATATGGAGTCATAAGGAAGCGTTCCACTGAGACAGGTTCATGTTTGCTAAGGAGTCTTCTGAATTTCCCCCCCCCCACTTTACTGCATTCAGTCTGAAATCTCACCCCTCCCTGCGGTCCTGAGTGTCCTGGTTTGAAACCTTTTTGGGCTGATTCACAACACAATTACTCTCTCTTGAGACTTTGCTTGTTGGGAAGTTGGGAGAGGTGGTGGTGATGGTGCTGGCCATGGCTGCAGGAGGAGGGAGTCCACGTGTGTGTTTCTGACCACATTGTTCCTCAGTGCCACCTCCTGGAATTGGAAACAAAGGGGTGGGCCCAGGCAGCACAGAGAGGGTTAAACTGACCTGGTCTCTGACATATTTGAAAGAAATATAATCAAGTTAATTCACTGCAAGGCAAATTCAGTACCTAAAGGGCCCCCATGTTAAATACAGCACTGACCTTTACCGGCTGATTACACAAAGACGACACAATTAGATTAGTCCAAGACAAAAGGTCAAGCACATTCACACTGTGACCATTTTATGCTACCTTTTGGGGGGGGGGGGAATTACATCCCAGCTGGAGGGGTATCTTGGAGAGGAGCGGAATGGGGCTGCTGTACCATGTTCTGCCTGGCTCGGGTATGTTTGAGAGTCAGGCAGGGCCTGGCACTGTGCTTGCCCTGAGCCTGGGCAGTGTGGCAGCAAAAGAGACCAGCAGCCTGTGGCCCACAACCAGTTTTTCCAAGGATGGGCTGAGCTGAGTGGAGGCTGTGTGTTGGTGATGCCCCGTGCCCTGCCCAGAGCTGGCAGGAGCCTCCCCAGTGCCTCTCACTCATCACCATGGCTAAAATTGGCCTCTGGAAGATAAGAGGGTTGGGGTCACCTCTGAGAAGAGCTGGGGTAGGTGCTGGCTGGTGGGGTGCATGGATGTGTGTCCTGGTTTCGGGGCTATCGCTGCATGAGGTGGGTGACACCTTGCCTTTCCCCTCACAAGGTTTAACCCTGCCACGCCAGCCTTGAACTCCCCAGTTCTACCATGTTGCTTGGCCACTGAGTTGCTGGGGGCACTTGGGGGAATCATTTAATCTCCCTGCTTCAAATTCCTCTGGGTTGGAGAATCTCTTTGTGCTGTCTAGCACTGCCCATCCATGGCACTCCACATGTTGGATTAAGCATGGATTAGTTTAGCCTCCAAACCAGCTGCTCCCCTGAAGCCAGATTTGCTTCCCTGGAGAGAAGTCTCTTGCTCCAGATGTTGGAGGGAGTGAGTGGCAAAGCCAGGAATAGGACTAAGGAGTCCTGACTCCTGAGCCCTGCCTGGCAAGCCTGGATTCCTTCCCAGGAATTGGAATGGATGGGCAAAGGCACTACAGGGTCTTGAGATACCGGTTGTAGCAACATCTGGCTGCCACATCCCCCACCCCTCATTGTGCAGCAGTGGGGATGGGGGCATCTCAGGAGGGTGTGAGGGGAGGTGTCTGCCTGTCCTGGCAGTGAGACCCTGTGGGGCAGTGGGAAGCCAGGCACTGTTCTGCCCCACCGTGTCCACCGCATCTCTCCAGCCCCGGCTGCCTGTCCGCCCTCCCTGAGGCACTGCGCTCCCGTCGCTGACCATTAAAGCTGAGCTGGGATCCCCCCAGTGCCGTCTGCTGCTGACCCCGGTAGGGGCTTTACTCGGGGCCTTTGGGAGGTGAAAGGTGAGCCGAACTCAGAACAAATTAGTTCCAAGCAGAAGTTCAGCCAGTTACTCCAGATTGGATCCTTTGATTTCCGCAACTCAGACTCCACTCAGTGATCTGTAATGAGTGACTCTCAGAAATCCTCACATTGCAGCACTTTGTTCCTGAGCTCACAAGTCAGCCCATTAATGGGTAAAGGAAAGGACCTTGAGTCTAAGAAGTCTCGGGTTCAGAGTCAGAATTATTTGACTTTTAAGCTTCCTTTATCTGAACTCCTGCTGACTTCTTGTTTTCTGAGCCTGTTTGAAAGCTAGAAGTTACATTGTTAAGATCAAACATTCTCTCTTTCCAGATGGAGTTACAATATCTGTCTTTTATATATATATATTTTAATATATATAGTGTATATATACCAGGGTGTATATATAGACCTCTCCTTTTTTTTTTTTTTT